AACCTTTTCAATTATATTTATGATGGTTGTATTTACTTTGAGCACTATTATACTCGTTGTTGTGATACTTACATGAAGTCCTCCACCCCCAGACGTTTCCGCCATCCTTGGTTTGGGGGTGTGACATCCGTCAAGGTTAGTCCAAGAAAAACATCATGGGAAGAGCTGGGAATGAGCTTTCTCTTCTTAGATTCAGGTCTGTGAGGCTTCATCGTCATTGGTTTCTTAGAAGATGGAGGAGGTAGCTTGTTATTCTTTACTGGAGAACCAAAGGCCAAGAACTCATTAACACTGAAGCAAGAAAAAGTAGACCCACGACGAGTAACCTCAGAACCTACTAGGAAAACTTTAACGGTTAGGATTCCAAAACAATATAAAGAAAACTTCATAGATCCTACCAGTTGACATCTTGGAAGATGCAAGCTCTTGGATGGAAAATGGATAAATAGCATCCCCTCAAGAAATTTGTTCCCTAAGACAATTTCAGAAAATTACGGACTCTTTCCTTCCTATCTTCACAAAGTGGGAATAAATCCTCAAACTCTGGCACTATATTGAAACAAAGAAAGAGAGTTAGTAGGCACACACTAAAAAACCTTTAATATTAAATGAAAACCAAATTCCTACCCTCAATAACCCAGTCAACATGCAAAGTGTGTTCATCAACTAGAAATTGCCTATTAAGAAAGAAATACTTCTTTTACCACCCAACACTAGGACACAACGTATTGAGAAATAGATGTTGTTTCCCAAGTTTTATTTTTAAAAATGACACGAGAAGAACCAAAGTTTTGAAGGTCACAGACACTGGCCATAGTAGGGAGACCAAGAATTAGATTCTCATATTCGTTAAGATGATTAAAATCCAATACAGTGGGGCAAAACCATTGGCATGATCTGGGCATATGGAAATCTACTCATCTCAAAAAATTCTGAGATTAAAGGGGGGTAAAGGAAAAGAAAGACCAATATCAAAAGGAAGATAATAAAAATAAACCTAAGAGATTGATACAAAATCAGGTTTTAGCTTTGCATTAAATGGTTTGAATACTGTTTGTGAAGGGAATATTCCTTCAGAATTAAGGGACTCTATTTTCTCATTTGAAAAACTAAAAGTTTCCTTCCTACCACGACAAATAATTCTCGAATCTTTAAAATCTTCATGGATAAACCCTGGGTATCAGACTTCCCTATACTTAGATCTTAATCCATGATCTAAATAAAGAAAAGGGAAGAAGAAGATATACCTAAACATGATTCATCGATGGTGAAAGAATAGCAAGACCGCAAAGTCAATTGATAAATGGAACACTCCTAGCTGAACAGGTGAAAACAAAGTCAAAGTTCTTGGGAATTTGAAAAGACATCCCGACTCTTCGGCGTCTAACACCTAATAATTCCAAGCATAGAAATCTCCAATCCCCTAGGATCTTCGATTGAAGATTTTTTATGGCAATTTTATGAGAAAAATTTTCATCTTACCATTTTATATATCATGAACTTGTACTAAAATATCTGGCAAGCCCAAGATCTTGAATTAAAAAATATCTTGGACTGCCATCGTGTTTTCTGTAAAATGTTATGCAAGAACTATAAACTTGACTAGAAATGAGCATACCCAGTCAAAAGCATGTGGTCAAAAGCCTTGTGAATGTTGGATCACGCATGGATCAAGGGAGATCCCTAGAATGTCAGAATATTTGTTATTATCACTATGTATAAAAGCCTAGCTGGTCATCAATCGCACACACTCTGACTTCTACTCTTAATCTCATTCTCTCGACACTTTGCACTTTTACATTCAAATAAAGTTCTAAGGCAAATGATTTTATCACATCCCGATATTTTATATCAGAGATCCAAAATGATTAAGGGTTTTCCTCGTATATCATTGTGTTATTGCACTTATTTTCACTAATTTACTGTTGTTTGATCGATAACAACATTTTCTATTATTTACTTTCTTGTTAATCTGATTTCATTGTCAAAACTACTAAGATGTTTTGTTTTGTGGTATTTTGGTATCTTTTTGAATATTTTGGGATATTTTATACAAAATTACTTGTTAACTTCCTTTTAACACTATTTTGGTTCCAATACGCTTATTTAAATAACAAAATAAAACACTTCTAATAATTTCCTAAATACCACTATTTTCTTCCCTAGGTATAACCAAGATCTTAGGCGCATTTAAAGATCTTAATTAAGCACGTCAATTTTACATATCTTATTTTAAACATCAAACTACACTTACTAATTTAGTTACGAAATTAGTTTAATGAATTTC